TCCCCATAGGGTGACCAGATGTCCTGATTTTATAGGGACAGTCCTGATATTTGGTGCTCTCTCTTATATAGGCACCTATTACCCCCCACACTCTGTCTCGATTTTTCACCCTTGCTATCTGGGTACCTTATCTCCCCAGCTCTGGGAGGGAAGTGGGGGCTGGTGGGTCAGAGCAGGGGGGCTGGGAGCCAGGACTCCTGGGTTCTCTGGGAAGGAAGTGGGGTCTAATGGGTTGGGGGGGAGGCTGGGAGTCAGGCACTGCCTTCTTTGTCTGTACAGCACCCGGGACACTACGGCTCCGATCCCAGCATCTGCTGCCTAGGCCCTGCCACAGCACAAAGCCCAGTCCTTCTGCTGCATTGGCCCACCCGGCTTGTCCCAAATCCTGATTTAGTCACCACTGAACTGTGGAACTGGCTAAGAAGCCACGATATTATTTAACTCAGTAACAGCCACTGGGGCTTTTTCTTGGCCTTTGGAGCTCCTGGTTTTCAACCTTTTCTCTGTTTTTACAAGGGCTAGAAACTTTTTTTATTTTAATTTTGAATGAAACTGGGAATCTCTCACAGTCCTAGGAATCCGGGAGCTAGGGATAGAACCCAGGAGTCCTGGGTCCCAGTCCCACCCCCTTTTCTCCTGTCTGTCTCATTTCTATTCTCATTGCCATTTGTTCCTCCTTTACGATGCAGGAACGAGCTGGCGTGTTCCTCCTAGAACCCCGAATCATCTTATCTGGCCCAGTTGGTGTCAGCAGTGGGATCGGCTGTACGGCGAGTGACCGCAGCACAGGCCCGGTGGGGACGAGGCTAGTGGCCTGGAGGTTCCCAACAGGCCTACCAGGGAGTCACCGTTGGGGATCAAGAGTCGGAGTGGAGAGTCAGCTACCGTCTCCCTGCTGAGCTAAGAAAATGGCCGCCACTCAAGAGGTACCTCCCCCAGCCCTGGGCCTCCATTTCCTGTATCCGCTGGAGGAGACGATGGCACCACGGGTGAAAATGGAGGAGCCCGAACCGCTAGGCCCAGAGCCAGGCTGGGAGTGGGAGGCGGCCAGCAAGGCGCCATGGCTGGTGCAGGCCGGGACCATCGGGGAGCTGCTGAGGTGGGCGGCTCCTCAGCAGGCCCGGCCTGAGGAGACACCCCAATGCTGGTGGGGGCAACGGTCGCCCCTGGAAGTCCTCCCCCCTTGGGAGAGCCCCACCCTGCCAGACAACATCGCCCTCTTTGGGCAAGCAACCGACGCCTGCCCATGGCCCCGAGGGGAGCGCTTGGCACGAGTCACACCAACCCTCGGCAGCGAGGCCTTCAGCAGCTCACGGGCAGGGGATGCCAAGGATTATGGGAAGGTGAAGGCGGCCATCTTGGGAGCAGAGAGGGCAGCCATCTTGGGAGAGCAGTTAACGCGACTCACGCCAACCCTCAGCAGCGAGGCCTATCGCAGCCTAGAGCCTGGAGATGCCAAGGATTATGGAAAGGCTGCCATTTTGGGAGTGGATAGGGCAGCCATTTTGGGAGTGGACAAGACAGCCATCTTGGGAGAGCCATTACCGCGACTCACACCAACCCTCAGCAGCGAGGCCTATCGCAGCCTAGAGGGTGGAGATGCTAAGGAATACGGGAAGGCAGCCCTTTTGGGGGTGGATAGGGCGGCTATTTTGGGAATGGACAAAGCAGGCATCTTGGGAGAGCAGTTGATGCGACTCACGCCAACCCTTAGCAGTGAGGCCTATCGCAGCCTAGAGGCCGGAGATGCCAAAGATTATGGGAAGGCTGCCATTTTGGGGGTGGATAGGGCTGCCATTTTAGGAGTGGACAAGGTGGCCATGTTGGGAGAGCAGTTGACACGACTCACACCAACCCTCAGCGGTGAGGCCTACCGCAGCCTGGGGACAGGAGATGCCAAGGATTATGGGAAAGCTTCCATTTTGGGGGCAGATAGGGCAGCCATCTTGGGAGTGGACAAGGAGGCCATCTTGGGAATGGACAAGGCGGCCATCTTAGGAGAGCAGTTGACGCATCTCACGCCAACCCTCAATGGTGAGGTCTACCGGAGCCTGGAGGCCAGAGATGCCAAGGGTTATGAGAAGGCAGTCATCATGGGAGAGCAGTTGACACAATTCATGCCAGCCCTCAGCAGCGAGGCCTACCGTAGCCTAGAGGCTGGAGATGCCAAGGATTATGGGAAAGCTGCCATTCTGGGGACAGACAAGGCAGCCATCTTGGGAATGGACAAGGCAGCCATCTTGGGAATGGACAAGGCAGCCATCTTGGGAGTGGACAAAGTGGCCATCTTGGAAGAGCAACAGACACAATTCATGCCAACCCTCAGTGGCGAGGCCTACCGCAGCCTGGAGGCCGGAGACACCAAAGATTATGGCAAAGCGGCCATCTTGGGTGTTGGCAAGGCAGCCATCTTGGGAGTGGGCAAGGCTGCGGCAGAGAGGTGGCGCCAGTGCTTCCGAGGATTCAGCTACCAGGAAGCTGGTGGGCCACGGGAGGCCTGGGCCCGGCTCCGGGAGCTCTCCCGCCGCTGGCTGGAGCCCCAGCGCCGCACCAAGGAGCAGATCCTGGAGCTGCTGGTCCTGGAGCAGTTCCTGAGCATCCTGCCGGGGGAGATGCAGAGCTGGGTCTGGGAACGAGGCCCCGAGACCTGCGCCGAGGCCGTGGCCCTGGCCGAGGGCTTCCAGCGGGGTCGGCCGGAGGCCGGGATGTGGGAGCAGCAGGTGCAGGGGCGGGGAGGGCGTCTATCCCGTGGCCTGGTTCTTCTCAGGCTGTGATGTGGCACAGTCTGACCACACTGAGCCATCCGGGGCCACCACAGACAGCAGCCCGCCTTCCTCCTGTCCTCCCAGATGTGCCCAGCCAGGCCCGGGGGGCACCAACCCCCTGGGCATCAGAAACACCCCCCCCCACATGTTGCTTGGCCGCAGCACTTGGTCTTACTGGGTTGACATCTCCATGGTGCGACAGGCCCGGCGTCACCAGGCAGTGGAGATGGGTAGGGTTGGGGTAGCCCCTGGGGCAGGTGGGGCAACGGAGCGGGGGGGCGGGAGGTGAGTTCAGAGGTTAGCAGGAGAGGCGCAATTGTCACCCCAAGTGTGGATTGTGGGTAGGGAGAGCAAAGGTGAAGTCTGGTCACTCCTCTCACACATGATGGTGAGAACCAAATAGGGAGAGTGTGGTGGGGAGGCCTGGTACCCCCCCCCCCAGGGCATTGTGGGTAGGGAGAGCGGGAGGTCAGGCCTGGTGCCTCCCCCAGAGCATTGTGGGTAGGGAGAGCAGGAGGTCAGGCCTGGTGCCTCCCCCAGGGCATTGTGGGTAGGGAGAGCGGGAGGTCAGGCCTGGTGCCTCCCCCAGGGCATTGTGGGTAGGGAGAGTGGGAGGTCAGGCCAGGTGCCTCCCCCAGGGCATTGTGGGTAGGAAGAGCGGAGGGTCAGGCCTGGTGCCCCCAGGGCCGGTGCAAGGATATTTTGCGCCCTAGGAGAAACTTTCACCTCGCCCCCCCCCCCCGCCCCTGCACATTGGTTCATTGAGGGGCAAATCTCAACTAGCCTTTATAGACCCCAGGGGCCAGCCGTGCCCAGGCTGCTCCCCAGACCAGGTTCCCCCCTCCCCGCCCCCTGAACTCCCCTGGAGGGTGCACAGCCCCCCTGCGAGCCCTCCCCTCCCCACCCCACCCCGGTGGCCCCCGCCCCGAGACCACTCACTGGCTTTGCCGGGCTTGGGCCGCTGCAGGAGCTCGGCAGGGAGGAGCCGCCTTCCGCAGGCACCGGAGAGCCAGAGCGTCCCGCTTGCGGCAGCGGCCAGCTCCAGCCATGGAGGAGCCGGCGCGGCGCAGGGGGGCAGCGGGCTGCTGGGGCTCACAAAGGCGGCGGCGCCGCTAGTGGGGAGCAGCCACACACCCCCCCTCCGCACCTCCTGCCCAGGCTACGGCCCAGCGCGCCCCCCGGCTCCCCCCTCGCCATGCTCGGGCTCTGCGGCTCCCGGGCGTGTGAGCCGCTGCCCCTCCCGGAGCAGCTCAGGGCCCCGCGCCCTGGCGGCGGCTCACATGCCCGGGAGCCGCAGAGTCCGAGCGCGGCGAGGGGGGAGCCGGGCGGCGCACGGGGGCCTCTGCCCGCATGCATCTGCTGCAGCCTGCCGGAGCCCCTGGGGGGGTGCCGGGCCGCAGCCTGGGCAGGAGGTGCGGGGAGATGCGGCTGCTGCCCGCTAGTGGCGCTGCCGCCTTTGCAGGGCTGTTGCCCCCCTGCGCTGCGCCGGCTCCTCCATGGCTGGAGCTTGCCGCCCCTGCAAGCCGACGCTCTGGCTCTCCGGTGCCTCCGGAAGGCGGCTCCTCCCTGCTGAGCCAGGGCACCGCTTTTTGGCACCCCAACCACTTGGCGCCCTAGGCGACCGCCTAGTTCGCCTAGTGGTTGCACCGGCCCTGGGTGCCCCGAGGGCATTGTGGGTAGGGAGAGCAGGAGGTCAGGCCTGGTGCCTCCCCCAGGGCATTGTGGGTAGGGAGAG